CCCCGGGCCGCGTCCTGCCCTTTGGTTCGCCGCCTCAGGTGTGAACAATGGGCGTGAGATCCGGGCTGCCCGGGACCGCGGAGAAGCTCGAGCTGAGACGAGGCGGGAGGGCGCTGCCCGTTGTCGGCTCCGTAGACGACTCCGCGCGATTGGTCTCGGAAGTTACTCTAAAGCTATTGCAGTGCTGTGAGATCTTCAGGACTGTTAACAATGACAATTACAGTTTTCAGACTGCAGTCTGTGGCGCCGTTAGGTCCCAGCACTCGTGAGGCTGAGGCGGGCGCATCGCCACAAGTTAGAGGTCAGCCTGGGATACACAGCGAGACCCTTTTTGTCTCTTTGTACTTTGGGGTGATGTGAGATGTGAGTGCAAAAGGTAACGATCATCAGTGCATAATGTGATCGTCAGTGAGGCTTGCCCAGAGTGCCCCGCTTTGTATTACTTTTGTTTACTTGTTTGTCGTACTTTGGAATGACAGTTCTGCTGAATCAGTGGTTTTTCGTGTTGTGCCTTAACTCCTTGTTTATAACAGGTTCCAGAATTTTTCTTTTATATAAATATTCAGGAATTACTCTCTTAGACGTTGTTATGACGCAAACCATCAGAAAATGCTCCTTATGTTCCGTTGCAAAATGTTTATTTACTTTGTGTAGTTCAGGCTGCCCTTGAACTCATCATGTAGTTTATCCTCACCTCGAACTCATGGTAATCTTCCTGCCTCAGCCTCTTGAGTGCTGGGATTAAAGCCCTAAGGACCATAGCACTGGGGCAGTACTAAGTGTTTTGGAACATGGTAGGAGGTGCCTAGCAGTGCCTCAGCCTTAATAGTTGCTTAGTAAATATCTGTTGAATGAATAAAAAGTAGTCTAGGAATCCCTTAGTGTTTGACGTTTGTTAGGCATGGGCAGCAGTTGAGTTTCTCTGCTGTTTCACTCTGATACTTTCACAAGTGGCCATTTCCTTTTCTTTTCTTTGAGACAGTCTCACTATGTAGACCAGGCTGAGCTCAGACTCCAGCAATCCCCCTGCTTCAGCCTTCTGAGTGCTGGAACTACAGGCGTGTACCACTGCTCCAGGCCTAAGTGACCATTTCTTTTTTTAGTTTTGATATGGGGGATCAAACTGAGGACCTGGCACTTTCAAGGCAGGCGCAGCACTCCTGAGCTGCATCCCTGCCCCAAGTGACCATTTCTTATCTGAAATGAGGAAGTGAAAGATAATTACATTTTTAGATGTTTTTTGAGTTTTTCCCTCTTGAAATCAGGTTTGGGACTGTAGATTTTTCTCATCGATGGGCAAATAGATAAAAGGAGGGGAAGAGGGGTTGAAGGGAGGGGAGGGGAATGGGAAAAAAGCAGCAAGATATGTCATGTGCAGGTACAAATTCCCTATGATGAATGTTATCATTATTATTTGTTTTTGGTACCGGGGATTCAACTCAGGACCTCGTGCTTGACAGGCAGGCACAATGCTGCTGAGCTAAATCCCCTGCACAAGGTTACCATTATATTTATCTGAAATGTACCAGTAGAAAAATACATTAGGGTGGGCCGGGGGTTTAGTTCAGTAGTGCCGCCTGCCTTGCAAGCGCAAGGACGTGAGTTTGATCTCTGGTACCAATAAATAAATAAGTGGGGAAAAGAATATTGCTCTCACATACTAGCATAATTCGCTGCTTTTTGTGTAGATTGTAGAGCTTCTGAAGATGGCTAAAGGAACTGAATTATGTTGTGAGACTATTTAATTCTATATTTATTTGGAGACATGGTCTCTCTATGTAGCCGACGCTGGCCTGGAACTTGGCCCTGATTTGCCTGCCTCAGGCTCCCAAGTGCCATTATGCCCAGCTTAATTCTTTTAAATCATGTTCCTTTATCCAGAGCTTTCTCTCTTAAAGCGGTGAAGGTGTGTAGGGGATTTAACCCCCCAGGGTCTCTCTCCAGCATCTGCTCTACCACCCTCAGTCCCTAAGGAAGTTTGTAGGGTTTTTGTTTTGTTTCCAGTACTGGGAATAGAACCCAAGCCCTTCTAACTGACCACCATCCCCAGCCTTTTTATTTTATTTTATTTTTTGGTTTTTTTTTTGAGACAGAGTCTCACTATGTAGTTGAGACTGACCTGTAACTCACTGTGTAGCCCAGGCTGGTCTTGAACTCACAGGGATCCTCCTGCCTCAGCCTCCCAAGTGCTGGCATTACAGGCCTGCACCACCATGCCCAGCTCCCAGCCTTTTTATTATTATTATTCCTTCTTTGAATCTGAGCCGACTTGGCTAAATCACTTAAGTTGCCTAGGTTGGGCTTGAATTTGTACTCTTCCTGCCTCAGTTTCCAGAGCAGCCAGTGCCTAGGTTCTCAGAGGGTATAGAGAGAAGTCAAGGTTGGATTTGTCTTCTCTGGTCTTTATAAACTACAGGAATGGTGAGGGAGGAATTGGATTGGATGGATTGGATGGATGGATGCACTTATTGACAGGGTCTTGCTTTGTGTCCTAGGCAGGCCTTAGACTCATAGTGATCCTCCTGTCTTAGCCTCCTAAATGCTGGGAGTACAGATGTGCGGCACAGTGCCCAGCAACTGTATGTTTCTTGGGTCTACTCAGATTCAGAATTGTATGTGCCTTTATTCTTTTTTTTTTTTTTTTTTTTTTTTTTGGTACTGGGGATTGAACTCAGGTCCTTGTGCTTGCAAGGCAGGCCACTGAACCGCTGAGCTAAATCCCCAGCCCTGTTTGTACCTTTATTCTAACAGCCAGAATTCTTTCAACTTTCGGCAGTTGTGTTGAAGTAGTGAAAGTACCAGAAGATTCTTAGGTTCTTTACTACATAATACATTCCTACTTGGTGTACATATTCGTAGAGGTTTATTTATTATTTGTGGTATTTGGGATGGAACCTGGCACCTCAGAAATGCTAGGCAAGTGCTATACAACTGAGCTGCATCTCCAGTTCTGTTTGTTTTTGTGACAAGTTCTCATTGTAGACAGGCTGGCCTAGCTGGCCTCAAATTTAAAATCCTGTCTCAACCTGCTTTGCGGTGGGATTACAGGAATGGCCCACCATACTTGGCTGATAGATTGTTTTGTTTTGTTTTGTTTTTGAGACAGGGTCTCACTCTGTAGCGCAGGCTGGCCTCCAACTCATGTCAAGCCACCTGCCTCAGCCTCCTGAGTGTGAGTGCTGGGACTATAGGTGTGTGCCACCATGCCCAGCAGCTGATAAGTTTTAACTAACTCTTGGGTGTTTTTTTTTTGTTGTTGTTGTTGTTGTTGTTACCTGGGATCGAACTCAGGTCCTCGCAGGATCGAACTTGGGTCCTTGCACTTGCGAGGCAGGTGGCGGAACCACTGAGCTAAATCCCCAGCCCACTCTTTTGTGTTTTTGTTTGTGGTACTGGGGATTGAGCCTTCACCACTGAGGTACCGTCCCTACCCTGAGTGCTGGAGTAGCAGGCTTTGGTGGGTGTGTGTATCCGGCGAACAGCTGAGCAGCTACTATGTGCCAGGTGCTTCAAACATAACCTAGGCTGGGGTGTACAGTAGTTCAGTGGTAGAGTTTGTGCTTAGCATGCCTTAGGTCCTACATTCAGTCTCTAGCACCAAGAAGAAAAACCAACCAACCCAGAAAATCCCCATGGCAGTCCTGAATGATAGGTCGCGTTTTCCGCATTACAAATGAGGAGGACTGACTGAGCTTCAGATTTAAGAACTTTCCCAAAGATTTTAGAAGTGGTGGATATGAGATTCAATGATTGGGCCAAGGATTTAGCTCAGCGGTTCTACTGCCTGCCTCGCAAGGGCAAGGTCCCGAGTTCAATCCCCAATACCCCCCCAAAAAAAACTAAATGATTTGAAACTAAAAACTTTGAGCCAGCCATGGTGGCACATGTCTGTCACCCCAGCACTCTGGGAGACTGAGGCAAGAGAGGATTGCAAGTTTAAGCCCAGCCTGGGCAATTTAGGGACCTAGTGAGAGCCTGTCTCAAAAAATAAAGACCTGGGATGTAGCTCAGTGCAGAGGTCCTGGGTTCAGTCCCCAGTCCCTAGAGCCATATGAATTTAATTGGGTGAAGGTGGAATCTGCTTACTTTGGGCTTTGTTACTAAATTTAGTTTTGCCATGCACAGTGGAGAGTGAACAGGTTTTGACTGGACTGCGGGGGCACAGCGGAGCCCTTAGAGAGGAAGCTGGGGTGGGTTTTTGTCTTTTTTTGTGGTACTGGGAATTAAACCCAGGCACACGTCACTGAGCTGCACTCAGTATCCTCTTTTTCAGTTTTGAGACAAGGTATTTTACTGAGTTACCCAGGCTGGGCTTGGGCTTGGTGGGGTTGCAGGTGTGCACCACCATGCTCAGCTCTGAGTGGGTTTTAGGTGATGAATCCCTGCCAATTTTGGTCTCAAACCAGTGCAGCTCAGGTACCTCAGACGTAAAGTTACCTGCTAAGCCATGAAGCTGCCAGGCCAGTTTCCTTCCACAGTTTGGCTGCTTTTCTTTTTTGTTGTGTTTTTTGGTACTGAGGATCAAACTCATTTCTTTGTGCTTTCAAGGCAGGTGCCGGATCCGTCTTTTTTTGTTGTTTTTGAGGTGTTGACTGGCTCTCTTTCCCAGATTGGCCTCCAACTCCTGGCCTGAAGCAATCCTCAGCTTCAGGCTCCTGTGGGCGGGCTGGATGAGTCACCTATTTGATTTCTTCTTCTATATTCTTTTTTTTTTTTTTTCCCACCACTGAGAATTGGGCCCAGGGCTCTTGTATGTGGGGCAAGCACTCCACTGCTGAGCATTCCCAGTCCTTTTCTGGCTTTCAGCTTTCCACCCTCCTGAGTAGGTGGGTGTATGTGTGTGTGCTGCCACTCCTGGCTGTTTGGATTATTAAAGATTTTGAGCTGGAGGCTATTGTGCCTACCTGTAGCTCCATCTACTTGGGAGGCTGAGTCAGGAGGATTGCATGGGGCAGCTTGGGCAACATCATGGAATCTTATCTTTTAAAAACGATTAAGGGGGCCAGGGATTTAGCTCAGTGGTTCCACTGCCAGCCTCAGATGTGCAAGGGGCCAAGTTCGATCTCTAGTACAAAAAAAAAAAAAAAGATTAAGGTTTTAAAAGTGGTTATTGACATTATGCTAGATGGCATAGGGAGGGAATTTTCTTGCACTTTACAGGAATTATTTGACAGTCACAGGGTTACTTACTTTCAGTAGGACTTTTTATGCAGTAGGATTAAAGGCAGGGTAAACTTTTTTTTGTTTT